CCGTCAAGTATGGCTTTGTTTTTATGTCGTATTAGACGAAGAAGTGTTATAAATGCCCGTTAACTGCAATCATCAGGACTGAAATACCATTAGTGAATGCTTCCCTTATAGTATGAAGACTTGCAGAACCGAATAAAAAAATTAAAGTAGTAAGTGACATCTTCACAGCTTTGTCTTGACGGTGGCAGACACCAGAAACACGTGAAGAAGCTACATGGCCCCCATGATGACGTACTAATGAACTCCAACACCAATAAGTAGCATTACAATGTCAATTATGAACTACAACAAATCACAGATGTTGCACTTTCACAGATATTCAAGTCAGGCAGACATGTTGTAAGATAAAATTATGCAAATGCTCTCAGATGTCAGCTTTGCGATGGCAGGATGACGTGGAATGACACTTTTAATCCATCTTTAAAACCCCGCAGCGGATGTCTTTAGTGAGCTAAACGTAGAAGCTTAGACGCTCCAGACTTGTGCATTAGAGTGGATTTCTGTTTCTGCGGGCTCACCTTGCAGCTCTGAGGTACATAAGAAGGTCACAGTCGTTGACCCCTGGCATCCAGACCAGCTCCTCATTCTCGGTCACGGCCTGGCCACCAGGGGAGGGGAAAGGCTGCAGCTCTGGGAGCTTTGCCTAATTAGGTCCACAGAGAAGAGGAGAGACAGATGGTATCACACTACAAATAGCACACACAGGCTTGGAAAAGAAAAAAAAAAAAAAGAAAAATATCAGCTTACAACCCCTTGTCATCAACTTTTCACTTTGAGCCTGAGTGGTGGCAGTGGGGACGAGTTAGAGTCACAACGATTCACCATCACAACAGAGAAAGTCATTACGGAAAGACAACAAACAACTCTAAACTTCTGTTGTTTAAACAAAGATGTGAGTTTGCATAAATCCTCCAAATGAGGCAGTGGTGTTAAAAACTTGCTGATATTTCAAAAGGGATATTTAACACTTTTTTTTTTCTTTTTTTTTTGGACATGAAAACACTGGCTTCTTCGAAGCACCAAACGCTTTTTGAAACTATGGAAACAAGGCGAAATTAATTTTTAGTTCCTGTCTACAGCGTTTTAATCAGGACGTAATTAATGAATGAAGAGTTTGAAAATTAATCTACAGAATGATCTTTTTTTTTTTTTTTTTACAATGCTTCCGTAATTGAACTTATATTGACTTGTATATATAGAACTAAATTACAACTACACAGCAACAGTTCCTAATAATACTGTTCTAATATTCTTATTGGTAAACATCTGGCAACAAATGGTTTGAGTAAAAGAAACAGCTCTCATGTCAATCATAGTATCAATACAAAAATATTTAATATTATCAAACTGTTTTTACTTGAAAGACCAGAAACTACTCTTCTTGTTGCTAAAATTGTATTTTGATCATTGCGGTTATAACGGTGTTACCAATGGTGCTTATTTTTTGTGATGATTTTGATCAACTTTAGCAAAAGTTTAGAATAGTGGCAATTCCCCCAATGATTGTTAGAATATGATAACCTTTTGCTGCTCTGAGTTTTATAGAATAACAAAAGCATATCATGCTGGTATTAACTGGCAGGTCCATTTACTCCTGGATGGAGAAACAAACATGACCGTGTTAAAATAATATTAGCTTAACAACAGAAAAGGGAGACACTGTTCGAGCTTTGGCACCAATACTTAAGCAAGGGAAAAGTGTGCCAGTCTGTTTTCAGGCAGCTGACTGGAAGTGAGCAGCAACAGGTGGGGGTCACACCGAAATGCTCTATAGGGCCAGAAAATCTCCAGCAACAAATTAAAAGGACTTTAGATGATAGTAACAATGCAATGGAGAGTTTGATATATCCTGATACTCATAACGTTTACAAAGAGGTGAAATAAATTAGGTCTAACAGCACTGTGAGGTACCTGTTCATTTAATTAATAAAACTAACTTAGAAAAATACTACGGTCGGGAAAAAAATGCATTTTTTTAACCCATTACCTAAAAATTATACAATAATTACTATGGGACCATTACATGTATAAAATTAGGGTCTCGTGGATAAATTGAGACTCCACTTTCCAGTGTTCTCAGTCCTTTACCGTCATTTCATAATCTAAAAAAACAAAGTTACCATGAAAGATGGAAGGGAAGGAAGGACATAGGGATTAAAGGATAAGGAAAGAAATGAGGAAGTAAGGAAGGAAACAGGAGAAAAGGAGGATAGAAGGAAGGCTGCAAGGAAGAACTTAAAACAGAGAGAAGGGAATAAAGGACAGACAGAAGGAAAGACAAAAGAAAAGACACAAAGATAGAGAATAAAGTAAAATGAATTGATATTTTGGAGATCAAACTCCAAACTTTTTCCAGACTGAGAAGGAAACCCTGTGAGAATATTTCTACAACAGAAGAGTTTTGCATAGAGGACAGAGCTGTTTTGCTCTTAACTAGTAAATGTTGCCAGTTTGTTACACATCCTCAGAAATGTGTAACAAATCCCCCCCTCCCCCCCCCCCCCCCCCCAAAAAAAAAAAAAAAACACCCAAACAACCAACACATACGTCACATTCAGTTTGGATCTGAATTTTCCACATGAATGATAAGAGTGGTCTACTCTCAGGGTGATAACTGTGCGGTGAGCGGCAGCATCTCATCTCCATGCTGATGTGTGCTGCGCAACGACTTACCTGGTGACTCGGTCCCACTCGGATTTCCCCCTGTGTGCTGTTCAGTCGCCTGGGAAGACACAAGCGCAGGAGATTGAAACTAAATATTTATCCACTGACATTTATGTCATGTAAAAGGTTTTGCTAATTAAATAAGGCTGGCACAACCCAACAAAAAAAAACAAAACTGAGGTAGAAATTATAAATACCTAAAGCTAAAGGGGAGGATAAAAAGCAGTAATGTGAATTCATGACGAGGAGGAAGATTGCAGCAAAGAAGATAAAGATAAGTGTGTCAAAAGTGCAACAAGTACACCGTGTTTTATTCTGAGGAGCAAACACAGATTTCAGGAGAATATTCTCGACTCTGCTCAGAGAAAATGTGCAGGCCTCGTATTATGGATGCAGCAATAAAAAAAAAAAAGCAGGAGGAGGAGGGGAGGATGTGGAGTAGCTGGCTGTGGATGTGCAGAGCGAGGAGCCTCTGGAAGCGGCTGCCGGTACAAACGCTGGTAGCCATAGAAACTGCTGTTTAATAATAGTGTTCGGATTCTCCAGCTGCAGTGGATTAAAGAAAATGACAAGATGTTCCTTTTGAAAAGCCTTTCCCCCCTTCCCGTTGCCAAGGCAACGGCTCTGATTTTCATACAAGCGAATGCGAGGCGGCCCAGAATCTGTCAGCGTGATTTGCACCCGGAGAAGCTTGCACTCCATCACCCGGACCTGGAGGAAACTCAAGAGGCCGAAACCCTCTGGTTCTCTTTACGATCCTCGCATCCACACAAAACCCTGTGGTACTCGGGGCTCGCTTTCCGCACCCCCCCTTCCCGACACGTCTCCTCCTACACAGTTTCTGTGTCAGGACCGGGTGATTAAAGGTGTAACGTGAGCTACGGCTGACAGGGGTGCTGGCACAGACGTAGATACAAGCGCAGCCACAAAAAATAAAAATAAAAACACAAATACGTGACCCTTGCCTTAACAGTCCACTGCTCCAGAGAATGTTGCAACGATCCGTTTTATTTTACAAGAAACATTAGCAGCAGTTATAAAAAACCAAATGTAATGCAATGAAATGAGAAGCATTAAAAAGAATAAGGATGAACGCTGCAGATAAAACTACCAGAAGTGCACCAATTATTCGATATGAGATTGGTAACCTTGGTCGTCTTTAATCGCTGATCGATTGGTCAAAACAAATCATTTTATTTTCCTATTTATTAAATCCATTAAGTAAAAAAAAACAAACTCCCATCTTTTCTTTTTTACCTCTATGAAACACACCAACTTACAGGAAGAACTTTAATTTTTAGTGAAGCTTCGATAAAGGATAAGCATATATGCTTTGATGCACAAATTGGGCTAATCTGCTCACGTTTTGCAAGATTCAAAACTGCTGACCTTAGAAGAACAAAAACATCTAAATTGGTCAGCATCAGAATCTGTTGATCACCACTTAAAGACAACCACAAATATGCATCAGAATGAAAAGCCTGATTGGTGCATCTCTCTCTATTTTCAAACATTCAGCGCTGATGACGCAGAAAACCATCAGAGATGCACTAGTCAGGTTTTTCTCTGGTTGACGTACGTTTTTTTTATTTTCTGTGAATTAATGACCCTCCAAATTAGAGTCAGAATATTTTTTTAAACTCTCACTAGTCTGAAAGACAAATAGTGTTATTGAGGTATTTTACACTTATTTTTTGTATGCAGGCATGACGCTTTTCTTGGACTATACCACATATTGTGTTTCTCTGACGTCTGACCTAATCATTTTGACTTCTGTCAATTTTTTTAGAGACTATAACATAAAATAGAAAACTGCAACTTATTTTGTACAAGTGGTATATTTGAGTCCATCAGAAAATAAAGAAATTACAAAATGACTCCTACTTATACAACACAGCAAATGGTCCAGATCTTTAACTGTTAAAAAAAAAAAAAAAAACAGCATGGAGGTGGTTGATTAACTTCTAAATTAAAATAGTGCCAGTTATTTATGTTTATGGATTGAATAAATACAAATAAAATTAGTTTCCTAACAGTATTTAACCAGTTAGGGCCAAAAAAAAAGGATAAAATTGGCTGATTCCCATCTGAATGTTTTAAAACACGGTTTGAGAGGATTAATGTGAAACCAGTTTGCTTGGACTTATATAAGAGAACAATGACCTACAACATATACAAGCATTAAATTATATCTGTTTGGGGTTTGCAGAGTAAAAATATAAACTAAACATACTAATATGGCCTCTGTTCTTGACAACTAAAGTTGTGCAAATGCGTTTTTGACGATGTGCAGTTGGACAGGTCAACAGTACGTTTGGCAGGAAGTTGTAAGGATGACAAATGAGGACCTATGGTGCAGGATAAAAACAGTATGTCTGAGGAAAACAGTGCTTTAATGCTGCAGACTACAGCAGTAAGATCTGAGGAATTTCCTTAAAAATGGAGATGCACCTAATTATTTATTTGATCAGCAGATCAGATACAAATCAAATCCTCTCCTAATCTTTTTGATGCACTAAAAGCAACAATTTTCAGCCAATCATATAACAACATGGGACGTAAGCTATGAAATTTAATGGGGATAATGTCTGAATTCATTTCATTTTATGCTACGTTCAAAACAAATACCTCTATCCAGAATGCAGCACATGTTTCTCTTTTATGCATTATAATGTTCAGGGCAAAAAAAAGAAAAATCAGCAAAAGTAGAAACGTGATCGGTGCATCTCTAAACCGCAAAATAAGCAGTCTGATTAATGTAATACAACTAGTGCTTTGTAAATTAATATCAAAAATATATATATTGGGAAAGTTTTAATTAATTTTCTACACCAACTAATGGTGTTTATATACGTTTCACCCCAATAATCCCCTGAAAGCCTGCTGCCGAGTGCAATAAACAATGTTAAAACTGTCCCTTTATTCCTCACTAGTTCAGCTTAAAGTTAGCATTAGCACACAATCTTGTCAAGTAATTATAAGCTTATTTATAAAACCCAAACAACGTGACAGTCGGGGCAACCTAGCGTGTGTGTAATCAAGGAAAACCCCTCCCACTCCATCAATTTCAGCCAATCAGAGCGCCAGGCTTGTGGCACACTGACATAATTGCAGTCCAGCTAAGACAGACCAACTTCAAGGTATTAGTATTAGTAAGCCGAGTCGGCTGAGTTTTGACTGCTCCTCAGCGGCGCTTTAACACGCCATGTCATCCGGGTAGTAAACAGGAGCTGCAAAATGGAGCCCGTCTCATTCCGTTGCAATAATCCAGCTGGGAGCACATTTATCGGCTTGGTTGTCGAGGCAAACCCCGCTGCAAACACACCGCGCATTCATCGGGACGATACTGGACACGGATTTAAGGTGCAGCGGCGCATTTTCTCCGCTACTGGCAGCGCAGACGGAATGCAAAGCTGCGGCGACACTCTTTTCTTCTCCCCGACACAAACACAGCCGCTCCGACGCAATGACAGCGATGCGGGCAGCTCGCAAACATCCCGGCTCAAATCAGACAGCCCCGTGAAAATATGACGAGCCGACCCTGACGCTGCAGCTATTACCCCGGCGGAGCGAAGAAGAGGAGCGCAGACCTACCTCCGGGGGCTGAACAGGTCGTCCATTTCTGACATGGAGCCCCGAGGCTGGGTGGTGACACGGGGTGTGTGTGTGTGTGTGCGCGCCGCTCGCCGGATTGAACCCCCCCCCCCTTTCTCACACCTATTCCTAGGCGCTCAAAATGGAGAAGCACGCATTCGCCTGCCTGCCACGGAGAGGTGCTCACTGAGCTTGTGCTGTGACCTCAGCCTGCACGCACAGCGTCAAGAGCTCCACTCGCTCCTCCGTGGGCTCTACTGAGCATGTGCCGCGACCTCACACACACACACACACACACACACACGGAGCCACATGCGGGATGTGGGATTCATCTCTGCGCCGTGATCATGCTGCAGACACCGCGCTCTGAATACCCAACGAGGGGAGGGAGGAAGGATGAGGATGAGGATGAGGAGGGGGGTCTTTACAGTCACAGGCAACCCGGTGGCAATAACAAGGACTGCTGTCAGTGCAACATGAAAGATGCTCCCACCAGCAGCAGCAGACAGCTGCCAGCGGTTCTCCCATTGTGCACAAATACACCTCATCATCTAAAGTGAATTCCTTTATGGACACATGACTTCTTCACTGCTGTCTGAGTAGATACTGTACGGACACACAACTATAAAGCCTCCAAACGCAGCACCTTAACACCGACTGTTCCAAACACAGTTAAAAAAAAATAAAAAAAAAATATATATGCTAGCAACATTTTTATGAGTTGCACGAGTCAATAAATAATGTTTACATGAAGAACATTTCCAGGATTAATGAATTTATGTCCAAACAGGATTTTTGAGAAACTCATGAGCTGAACTGATCACAACAGAGACTTCACAAGTTTGCCAAACAGACAACTACATTCAGAACGCCCACGTTCTCACTAAAACTAGATAAATGGTTAAAGTCCCTATGCACTCATTTCCTGTAGCTGAAAGAGTAGACTTTAAAATACTTTTGCTACTTCATAAATCACCAAATGAACTATGATTTGCACCAAAACACATTAAAAAACTGTTTTTGTATCATTCCAGACCACTCAGGTGTTCTGGTTCTAAGTCTGCTCTGCATCTCCAGAACCAGAACCAAACATGGAGAAGCAGCATCTGCAATAATCTGGAACAAGATTCCAAAAAACTGGAAAACAGCCAAAACCATCTTTAAATCTAGGATCAAAACTCATCTGTTAAGAGTTTCCTTCAATTAATAAATAAGTAGAACATCACTAATTGTAATTAGGCCCGAGCAGCTAAGCGCTGCGAGAGCCTATTGAAACTGTACTGTTTATTATTATAGTTCTTGTGCCGAATGAATTGGCTTTTTGGGGGCTTTATCATATTCAAAAACTCACCAAACTT